CCTCTCTCTCTCCTCCCCCCCCACACACATACACACACCAACTGGGGAAAGCAAGCCCTTTAAAAAAAATAATAATGCCATGAACATAACCGGTTGTTCAACATACAAAATGATGTGTTAACCTCTGTCCCTAATTACAAGTTACCCAAGCATACTGAGACATTGATAGGAATATGATAATTTTGGAGTAAGGAGACAGCCTGTCTTCTTGCTTCAGTTCACATTTCTAATTAAGATTTTTATATGCAGCAGCACCGAGGTTGATGCATGGCTCAGATAAACCCGTGCCCAGTGAATTCCATCAGGCTTTGTTTCTAATGAACAAGGTTGCACAGTGTTGGTATTACAGTTATAGTTCCTGTTTTCCTAAACCTGCAGCTGAAAAAGCACAGCTGATACTAATATGGGACCATTATATTTTCTCCACTCTAAGGAAGCCATGTTCTTGGGATATATTGTTAAATATCAAGGCGTTGACTTTCAGCATGCTCCCCCAGCCTTTGTAAACACAACTTTAAAACAGAGCTCTTTTGCTAAGAGCTCCCTAAAGGGGCATACCCAATTACCTCTTGCCAGCCCCTGACCAAGAACAGTTGCTGATAAATCATTTTGATTAGACTCATGCATGTCTTGGATTGATTTATGGAGCCGAGCGGGAAGTCAAAAGAATTATTGCCCTATTTTCTGAAATTGTAGATACTTTGAAAAGCCAACCTTCCATTCCATTTTATGCGTGCCATGCTTCAGAGTTCTCCACCTCTCATGTTTGGCCTCTTCGGCTTCTCTGTCTTGCTGCTATATTGAAACTGTGGCTAGTCCCACAGCTGCTGCAAGGCTGTGGCTTCTGGAAATTGGTTGGATATGCCAGGGTTGCTGTTAGTAATATTGATGATGAGCTGTCGAGCCAGTATGTGGCATAATACACAGAGAGACAGGTTGATAATAAACACCTTCTCACTCTCTTTAAAAAAGAAAGAGCTAACCAGAAGCCCTCAAATACAAATTCCTGTGTATTCTCGAAGGCTTTCACGGCCAGGATCTGATGGTTGTTGTGGGTTTTTCAGGTTCTTTGGCCTGAGAGAGCATGGACAGAGTTCCTACCCCAGTCCTCTGAAGATGCCGGCCGCAGAGACTGGCGAAACGTCAGGAAGAACAACCTTCAGAACACGGCCAAAGAGCCCGAAAAACCCACAACAACCAACAAATTCCTGTGTTTATATTTTTGTCAATGGTAGCTCTAATTTCTTATCACAATTAATGTATTTGCCAGGGCTCTCCAATCCTAATGTTTGCAAGGAAGGACGATGGAATAATGTACTGCAGAAATGACCAACTGATAATTCTCCCAAGAGAAAGCAAATCAATATTGTTTTGATGAAATCTGTGAAATCTGGGACGTGTGGCATCAGATGCTTGTTGAGAAAAGGCTGGACATTCAAGTACTTCTGGCTCTTTATGTTCCCCATCCATTGTCTTCCCCACCCCTTGTCCTTCCTGCAGTTACTATTATTTACTATTTATTTATTTAACACATTTTTACCCCGCCTTTTTCTTTAAAAAGGACCTGAGGCGGCTTACCTCACTGAAAGACAATATTTAAAGCTGAAAACAATGAGTAGACAACAGTGGTTTAGGTCACTGAAAGATAATACCTAGAGCTAACAACAGTGAGTGTAAAGAGGCAGCTGACATCATTAAAAGACCATATTAAAGCTAAAATGACAAGTATGCAAATATTAAGAAAGGAACAAACAAGTATCTCTCTGAGAGATGGTAAACAGAAGTAGTACTAAAGACCCAGTCAGAGCAGTAATGCAGAACAAACCATGTAAAAGGCCGGTGCCAAAGGGAGTGGATAATAAAGACACAAGGGCTAGAGTAGAACAGGAAAGCCATTTCCATGTGTGAGAAGAAGCGCAAAGTGCCACCTTTCCTTGTTTCATGTTGAGGAGCTGACTGGACCGGCAGCTGAACCCATGCAACTGATGGGCAGCACCTTCCACTGCATTGGAGCCGGTAGGTTCATTTTGAAGTTCCTGGCTACCCACAGAGAGGAAGGGCTAAGAAGGGGCTCCAGAGGCCACTGCTGCCCAATGTCTGCTGCCTGAAATAACCATCTTTTCCATCCCCAGTGATAGCATCATCCCTATCACAGAGCATACTCCTTTTTATATGTTAGACCAGGGGTGGGCTAAGTGGACACCTTCAGATGTTGGACGGCAGCTCCCATCAGCCATAACCAATGGTGAGGGGTGCTGGGAATCACCGTCCAACCACATCTGGAAGGCTGCACTTTGCCCGCTGCTGTACTAAACAATGACAATGCACCTAATTCGCGAAATCCTTCTAAAGCCAAGGAATGGGTTGCCACCTTGTGGTGCTGGGCTTTCCTACAGCAATATACCTACAGAAGGAGTTTTACAAGACACAACAAAAGGAAGTGTTTTTCTTTTATTACGGGTGGAAATCTTGGCAGGAAAATTGTTTTCATTATTATGTGCCATCAAGTTGCCCTTGATTTATGACAACTCCCATGAACGGGCGATCTCCAAAATGCCCTGTTCTCAATCGCTCTGCTCAACTCTTGCAAACTCAAGTCTGTGGCTTCCTTTAGAGAGTCAATCCATCTTGTATTTGATCTTCCTCTTTTCCTCCTGCCTTCCACCTTTCCCAGCATTATTGTTTTTTCCCCCAGAGAGTCATGTCTTCTCTTGAGCTTCCAAGGCAGGTTCCAATGGAAAGAAGTTCAAGCTAACTCTTGTAGCAATTTCCAAAGAAGAATCCATGTTAGGCAGTTTCAACTTGTTGGCAAAAGAAAACAAAAAAAAATTAAAATGGAAAATATTATAGCACTGGAACTAATTTATTTCACCATGAGATTGTCCACATCAGAATTCACAAATCCTACTTGTAAGGCACCCTCTGAGTGGAAACCTATTCTTCTAATATTGACTATGTGGATATTTGTTTATGTCATAGATACTCTGTGTATGTCCAAAGGCATGCAAGTTTTATTTATTTGTTGTTTTAACTTATATACCGCCCCATAGTACTAGAGCCCTTTCTGGGCAGTTTCCAACATAATTATGCAAATGCCTCATTACCCCTCAGCAAGATGCATACTCATTTTACCAATCTCAGACGGCTTAAGTCAACCTAGAGCCAGCTACCTGAATCTATCAATCATGAGCAGAGGTTTATCTGCAGTACTGCAAATTAATCACTGCAAATTAACCACAGGGTTTTCATGGATCAGATTTTATTTATCAGTTCTTTCTATGCCTTAGCACAGGAGCTCCCACTTAAAAGAGCAAGTTCCAGAGCTAAATTACATAAACTAAAGCTTGGTGAGTGGTTGTACTGGCCTCTTTTCTCCTGCAAGGAAAAAAGAGAGAGAGGAACAAAGTTTGATAGAAGGCGGGGGTGGGGGGAGAACAAAAAACAGAGAAGAGTCAGACTGCAGCCTCTGCAGCTGAATGGAAAGGAGTGAGAAAGCCCAGGGGAAATCGCTTTTCAGATTTCCAAGAAAACCAGGTGGTGGTGATGGAGGAGGAGGAGGAGGAGGAGGAGGAGAAAGAGGCTAGGGACCAGTTTCTTTCTTTTTTCTGCATTTTTATGGGAACAGCCTGAAGGTAGACAGCAGAAAGATTAACGAGAAGTAACAACAGCAATCATATAAACTCTAACCGAACTCCTGACAAGCCGCAGAAAAGCAAGTCAGATAAGCACTTAAAAGCTTAACTCTGGCTCCTGTTATTTCTTAACTTAGTATTCTCAAAGTTTTTAGTTCCGAGGGCACAGTCAACTGAGCAAGGTTGAGCGTGATCGCAGCAGTTGCCACCTGTGTATTTGTTGTATGAGTCATTATATTTTCCAAGGAGTAACCAAAGTTCTGTAATTCTGGTGTGGTCCAGAGTCAAGACATTTTTTAGGCTAGCAGGAGGCCAGGGAGAGTCAATCAATTTGAACACTAGGGGCACTCAGTTGAAGGGAAGTGACACTCCTGCACGTTACCCTTTGCTTCAGGTCAGGCAACCACACTGGCAGAAAGCAGATCAAAGCAATGTCCAACGGGTGGCAACTAATTTAAACCATACCGGTGGTTGGACAATTTAAAAACTCGTTGATTTTCTGTTAAAAAAAAAAAAGATGATTCCACAACAGGCATGCCCAGATTCAGCTTTATGTCATGTAGTAATCGGGCTTTAATTTCAATTAATCACTACCCAATCTGATGTAAATTGTGTCGTGAATGACCAGTGTACAAAGCTGCTCCCTAACTTAGGCGAGAGGTTTCCCAAATATATACCGATCTATTAGAATGTGTAAAGCCTTCTGCTTTTTTGGTCTAATTCAGGCAAGCTGTAGAACCAAGGAGGTTAGATAAAAATGAGAATTGACAATATATATTTATGGACTTACTAACAATAACACAATGTTCTGCAGGCATCAAGTAAGTTGCAGTCCCTGACTACCACAATATTTAGCAAATTTTAATGCAAAGTACAGTAAATTATAGAGGAGAATAAAATATTGTTAGACTTGGAAGAAGTAACAGTTTAGAGGCTGGTAACAGTTAAAAGGATGACATGGTCTATTATTATCTCTTAGAAAGATATAAATCACTGGTGAAAACACCAGCATGTTTAGAAATGGGAAAGACAGGAAACTGAATGGAATGGTTGCGGATTGCCCAAGGCTGATTTGCTTGCAACGATAATAACAATTCCCATAAATTTGTCTTAGAACTCAAGTGATACTGGTTTCTTCTTGTCCTTAATAATGTGCTTGGAGGAATGGTGATTGATTCCCGGATAATCTGCTAACATAGTGTCACCTAATTCAGATAATCAAGGATGTGTAATACTAGAGCTTAGAAAAGTTCTATATTTGTAATATAGCTCCCAGAATCTTCCTGGCTATGACAGATCAATAGCCAATTTGGGTGGCAGGTTCTGGAGATGGAATCTCCAGAATCTCAATCCACTGATTGTGGATAAAGGATACAATATGAAGAATTCGAAGCCATCGTTCCTCTGAGTCCTTCCTGTTACATAGGCTACATGTTAATTTGCTACTGTTGGCTAGCCATTCATCTGTTTAACTGCTGTAGGAATCAGGATTGCTGGACCAGACAGGCCTGATCCTCAGTGGCTTTTCTTGTCTTAGATTCTTATGAATTATGCACCAATTTCAGTTTTCTGGTTGAAAGTTGTCACAGGATAGAATGTGTCCTAAAAACAACAACTAAAACATACCAATGCTTTTTCAAAATACAGCTAAGTCTCACTATTTTCTTTGACTGCTTTTTCTTCCATGTTTCCAGATGAGTTGCGTGAGTGATCCGTGGGTCATCTTTAGAGTTGCTACTGAAGTCTCGTGGAATTGCTATTCTTCTCTGGGTCTCCAGGAGAGGGGGGACATCCGGGTGAGCAGCACTGAGGAAAAAGATTGTTTGAGTTGTGAGTGTTGTGTGCTTTTACAGCCTGGGCAGCTGCTTCCACCCATTCCTAGCTGGAGCCCACACTCACTGGCTCATTGCAAAAATGCTTGTATGTTGCTTCAAATGTCATGAGTAGCCCAAATGCACTCATTGGCTCTCTCTCCAATCCTTTTCACATGCTCCTGACTTTTTGGTGTTGGGTTTATTGTGTAATCTGAAGCAAGGTATGAAATGGAGCATGAGTGTTATGACTCATGAGACTTCTTGTTCCACAAAATTTGGCAGCTGTAGGAGTACAAAAATTCCATCTCTGAACCTTTGACTGTTCTGATACTGTGACATCACAATGTTCTGCTTCAGGATCTCAGGTGTTAGTCTTTAAATGTCAGGGAATGGGACACTGCTGAGCTAAGAACCCCAGGATCTTACCCCATCACAGATCATATGGCAAACAGGATAATCTCATGACATACCTGGTGTGATGTTGTCACTGCATAAAATGAGAATACAAAATTGACCAGAAAATACAGTGCCACTAGAGAAACTGTTGTAAGGGAGCAGTAGGACATGAGGAAGATGTGACATGAGTTGACTCACTAAAGGGATCCACAACTTTTAGTTTGCAAGACATGACCAGAATGTGCTGAAACAACTGCTATATAAATTATATTTTAGTGTAACCAGGCTATGTTTTTCTGTGTTTTGGGAAATGATCCCAAAAATGTTTGAGTTTATTGTACAGTCATAGACCCAAAAGTACAAGGATAAAAACATTACATAAAATATACAAAATATGTTAGATATTAGAAGATAACAGGAATATAAAACTTGGATCATGCATCTGTCTTAACACAACACTTTATGGATTCTTAAAACTGAGAATAAAAACTTAGCCACTGACTGTGATATTAATTGGTTCTCTCCGGACAGCAGAAACTTAAGGTAGTCTGCAGGAGGTATACTAATGCATTTACACATTATTGGGTAGACGATCCCAAAAATACTATTTTGGGAAATAGTATTTCCTGGGTTTGTAGTTTTGGTGAGGTATTTAAAAATCTGGCTCATTCACATGAACTATAGCACTCTAGTGCAAAAATCTAAGCCCTGTCTCAAATCTCATACAGTAATTCTGTAGGCTGGAGCCAATGTAGTCAAAGTGGCATCCAACTGGCATACATGTGGAGGCAGCTATACACTGTGAAATTGTTTAAGTACTGATGTAGTGAACCATAAATAAGAGAACATTCGTTATTACATAACATTATAAGGAAATTCAGCTGTTCACTTTTCAGTGAATTTGGCAGGTCCCCAAGGGCCAACCCAAATGTTAAGCAGTGTGAGGGACCTACCTCAGCAGTCGGTCAGCTGGTTTTGAGTGCCACAAAATATTAAATGGCTGTTATATGAAGCTACTAGTAAAACATAGAGGAGTGATTGTAGGGGACCCTGTCTTCCCAAAACAAAACAGCTTGCCTTAGATAGTGAACAACTGTGGGGGGTGGGGGTGGCTTCTCTGCCTCATACAGCAAGTGGTCTTGGCCCAGCTTTTTTGGCTCCCTATATAGCACCACAAAACAGGCTGTAGGCAGGATAATGGTATACAGAGCGATCATGCAGGAACTAAAGTCACTAGACCTGGAACCTGGGTGTCTTAAAAATATATAATGATATCTGTATTGGTATGTCCTGGAGAGATTCCGTTCCTCTCAGAGAATCTGTAGGGCTTTGCAGGCAAAGCTTTGGACAAGTTAATGCATCTTGCAGGAGTAAACTGACCCATTACATCTGTCCTTCCCTCTTCTTCTTCCTCTTCCTCCTCTGGAGGCTGCGCACAGTCCCTCTTTCTGATGAAGACGACTCGCTCCTTTCCTCTCTCTTCTGCTTTGGAAGTCCACTCGACACTCAGCGCACCCGTGCTCAGAAGATAAAGAGTGTGGCTTCTGAGGGATGAGAAGCCTCCCTCTTTTTCTTTCAGGTGAGCATACAGTATGTCAACATCTTTACAGGGACATCACTCCACCCACTGTCTGGCAAGTGTGACACAACCTTCCATGGTGGGGGCAGGCCCATGGTGTGCTTTGCATTCCTTCAAGAGCTACCTGTACAACATACAACATGTTAGAGAACAAAATGTTACCAATCAGGAACACCTTCTCAACATATCGACGCATCAGTAATTTTTAAATTAAAGTAAGAGGCTGCAGTGCCCCAGGAAACAAGAAAGAAAATAAATGGGTTCCATGGTGTAGCTGGCCACAACATTGCAAATAAGAAGAAATGTATCAGGAGCATTGAAACAAATTGGGATGTTAGCCCCAGATGTTAGGACCACGTGTCCTCGATTCAGTACAACAGGTGTATGGAAATGGGGGAAAGTTTGCCTGGTGTGATCAGGACCTTAGAAAACTATGACCAATTTCCAGAGCTTCTTATTTGTTCACTGTGCAAAGTCTGCCATCCTCGTTCATTCTGGACAAGTGTTGATGGGAATTTATGAACTAATACTGAGTAAATGCATTAGAAGTAAATTAAAATATTATATACATAATGGATATATTTATTTTCCACACACATTCATGGATAGTTTGCTATGGAAAATTACAAGGTGTAGGGATGTTTCAAAGAGTTCTTAGTCAACAGATGTTAGGACCACGTGTCCTCGATTCATGTCCAACAGGTCTATGAAAAGCAGTTTATACTTTAATTTTGCAGGCTACAATTACCCCCTGCCTCCATAAGGTGGATACTCAATTTACTGACCTCAGAAGGATGGAAGGCTGAGTCAACCTCCAGTTGGCTACTTCAGTCCATCAAGATCGAGCTTAAGTTGTGAGTAGAGTCTTGACTGCAGTACGTATTGTAGTTTAACCAGTACACCATGAGGCACCATTCTTTATTTATTTAATTAATACTCTTTATTTTTCCCAATACTGGCACTTAAAGTAGTTACAGTAGTTACCTGTATGATGGTGAGTTATGTGTCTATTAAAACTACTGTAGTAGTGTCTACTTCTTATGATATTGACATATGCAAATCTAAAGCAAAAATGTCCTCCTGTTTTGTGAAGAGTGTGCTCCTTTTTGGTGTTGCCTGTCCATCTTTCTGGTGATAGAGCTAGATACAGTATACCGTAGATGCCCCAAAGACTACACCGGAGAAGGAATACTGTTGCAAAATGAAATACTGAAATATGAACACAAATATTACAACCAGATGTATTGCAGTACGTATTGTAGTTTAACCAGTACACCATGAGGCACCATACTTTATTTATTTAATTAATACTCTTTATTTTTCCCAATACTGGCACTTAAAGTAGTTACAGTAGTTACCTGTATGATGGTGAGTTATGTGTCTATTAAAACTACTGTAGTAGTGTCTACTTCTTATGATATTGACATATGCAAATCTAAAGCAAAAATGTCCTCCTGTTTTGTGAAGAGTGTGCTCCTTTTTGGTGTTGCCTGTCCATCTTTCTGGTGATAGAGCTAGATACAGTATACCGTAGATGCCCCAAAGACTACACCGGAGAAGGAATACTGTTGCAAAATGAAATACTGAAATATGAACACAAATATTACAACCAGATGTATCTTAAGATTCAGAAACAGTACATTAAAAAATTAAATATAGCATGATGGGACTTTTTAAATCCTCATTCTTTTGCAGATCTAGAAAGCAACTACTAAGCCTTCAAAGGTGGGGTAAATGAAATATATCTTGGTAACCTAGCAACAACGCAGGTTTTCTCCAGGAGAAGGAGGTGGTGAAGGTGGGAATAGATTTCTTTTTCCCCACAAGGGTGTAGAGGGGAAAAAGCTCCCCCTCAGTGACTGGCTGCCCAAGTGAGATTTTTAAATGGATTGTTATGCCTTACTGCTTTAAATGTGTTTTTAGTATTGCTTTTGTTTACCATTGCTCAGAATGGTATTTGTTTGTTCCTTTTGGGTGTTTCTATACTTGTTTTTAGCTTTAAATATTGTCTTTTAATTATGTAAGCAGCCTTGGGTCCTTTTTAAGGAGAAGGGTGGGGGTAAAAATATCTTAAATAAATAAATAAATACAATTGTTGCTTGTACAGGATTGTTTGGAAGAATCTGCAATAATTACTATGATCATTAGCGGAGTGCATCACTTGTCTTGCTTGCATTCATTTTTAAAAAGATGATGGTGGGCATACCATTACAATTACAGTAGATTGAACACAATTCACATTTTGTGCTTTCAAATGTGTGCCCTTGTGAACACTTTTCACACGTGACCAACTCTCAGCTCTTTGCAGTAATTGTAAAGGTAGGAGCAAAAAGACAGCACCTGGTGGGCCCCAAAACACAGGCATTTGGCATTATTTGTTTAGTTGTTCATAATTTATAGAAATCATTGTCCTTATCGCATTTCTAGCCACCAGAACTCCTACAAGCAATGCATTATCATAACACTTCCTTTGAAACTTGGTTAAAACTGTTCTAAAAGCCATTGTGTCCCTCTGTCTCTGGCTGTTTCGCTCCACCATTTATAGCCTAAGGAATGCTGGGAAGGAGGTGAAGTTGAAGAGCAAGGAAATTTGAGAGATTAATTTAAATTTTGTTGGAGTCAGACAAGGATGTGTTCCAGGGAGTTTGAGCATGGTAGTGAAAGGATGGGGGAAAAGTGCGTCTTATGGTGCAAAAAATACGGTAATTTAAATTTTGTTGGAGTCAGACGAGGATGTGTTCCAGGGAGTCTGAGCATGGTGTGAAAGTGAAAGGAGCTGTGCAACTGGTTCCAGAAAAGTTTAAAGCAGAAACAAATGTAAAAGTCACTGAAATTATACTTGACATCTAACTGAATACAATTTGTGTTATGTGCCAGAAAAAAATATGTTCTGTTGTTATACTAACTCCTGATAAAGTCTATTTTATTTTGGGATCTGTAAGCTACTCCTATGTTACTACTAATACCTGAGAAACACACAAAACAGTGTCCTCTGGTAATACACCTTTATGTCATAAGCAACCCAGGGGTGATTTTGAAGCAGAGAACAGATGAAGGACAAGGAGCTGTTGGAAATAAGCGGTCACCAAAGTGATAGTGTGTAGAGCACACTGGTGCTGCCATACCCAATTACAGTAAAAAAATATTAAGGGCCAAAAGGAATAATACCATTTTAATTGCTTCTTGGAATCACAACAAGGATGGAAACAGGCTGGCCTGACTTCCCTCGGGAGGCAGCTCGACAGTTAAGGTGTCACTGCAGAGAAAGCCCTGGCAGCCTGCTCTGCTTCTGGAAATAGGCTTTCCCACTGCTGGTCAAAGAAAGCTCT